GAGAATGCAGCTGCCGTTTTAGTGCACCTTTGCTCCGGAGATCAGCAATATCTAGCGCAAGCTCAAGATCTTGGGGTGATGGGTCCATTGGCTGATCTGGCTCAAAATGGCACAGACAGAGGCAAAAGAAAGGCTGCACAATTGCTAGAGCGAATGAGCAGATTCCTTGAGCAGCAGCAGCTGCAGCAGCAAGAAGTTCGAACACAGAGCGAAGTGCAAGTTCTGAATGAGGATATACAGCCCCCTTCTATTGCTAACCTTATTGATAGCTGATGTTTTTGTTCACTTTGTGTCTTTTCTTATATTTGAAGTATTGCAAGAGGCCTTCTTTGGAGGGAAGGGTGGAAGATCACCTGTCCACTCCGTTATGTTATTTGTTTGTGTGAGATACAGGGATAGAACACAAAGACATTAAAATCTGTTTTTTTTTTTTTTTTTGGGGGGGGGGATCAAAGAAAAAGGTGGGATGCGTCTTACGTGGAAATGTATAATTGTAACGTTGTATCATTGCAATCATCCTCAAATTTTAATGAAGAGATGTTTCACGTACTTGAACGGAAACACAGGACATATAATATTGCGATGTTTCGTGTACTTCTAAACTGCAGTGAGGAAAAGGACAAAACTTACACGTACTGTTTTATAAATTGTGGGAGCACTTTTTTAACCTGGCTTCATATCAACGATTCTTGTTGAAAAGTACTTCACACTTTGCACATCATGATTCAATGGAAGAATCTAATAGAAAATAGTTAACAAAAAGTGTATTTAAATTCTTTAATAAAAAAGGCCAGCCAAGTGATGGCCCAAAAAATAGAGAGAATCAAGTGGATTGAACTTCAGTTGAGGTCATAATGGATTAATCGTAGTTGAGTTGCACAGTAAAGTTCCCAGCCATAATTATTTTTCAACTTAATTAGCGGCTTCCTGTTGAATTTATTGTGACCAACTTGTGAGAAAGAAAAAATGAAGGGAAGTTGAGCCGCCTTGATTGGAGGATTTCTGGAACGCATCACCCATTGGCTATTGTGGGTGCATGCCCGCCTTCTTTATCTGTAAAATTTTCTTTGGGCCTCTACTTTTTCTGTTTAATCGGACCTCGGTTGAACGAGCGGCACCTGCTATTCCCACACACATATCCCAATATTTAATTGGTTTGGTCAATGTTTCTCAGTTTTTAGGTGGTCTCATCCACTTGTTAATGGTTAGTTATCTTAATAGCAAAATTACCTACTTCTCATCAAAAAAAAGTCCTGAGTTCAAATCTAATATTGACATGATTAGCGTGCGTGCATGGAAGTAAACGTCGCTCTTCTCTATAAACAAGGGCTAGGTTAGGTTTTTTTTTTTCCCCTTTTAAATGTGGTCTCACCAACTTGTAGGCATGAAAAAGTAATCAATGATACAAATGTTTTTAAAGTTTTGGTTTTCAGCCCAACCAATAGGACAGAATTTGAATTCTTCAGTGGTGTGTTCGGATACATAAAAATTTATGAATTTAAATTTAAACTTTAAATTATGTTTTTTTATAATTTTAAATTCTTTCTACACTTTAATTACTTGAAATTTTAATTACTTCAAATATCTTATTTTTTTCACATTTTTACTATTAAAATATAGATGACTCTTGTAGCTTTTCTCATTTTTTATGGATTAAAAAATAAAAATAAAGTTGTCATTTTCCTCAATTCATATTCTTCATTTAAATTTTTTTAAACCATCCAAGCAAAATATTTTAAATACATAAATTTTAAACATGAGATTTGAAATGTAAGATTACAAATCTAAAATCCAAATGCTGCCTAAAATTTTTAAATGTCAAATATAATGATTTGGTCCAAAGTCATACTTGGTAATATAAATAAAAATTGGCAATCATGTGTTAGACCTACAAGTAATTATACAAAATTGGTATTTTGAATTTCTAGCAGCCTTTCTTTAGCTAATTGGTTGCTATATATAATCTGTAGATCTTCGTATAATTTTTTTTTGGCCAACTGTAGATATTTGCTATTCAAGGTATTTAAAATTTATAATAAAATTTAAGTGATGAAAGCCCTTATCACTTACATCAACTTTAGTTGGTGAAAAGTTCACATAGATTGTATTGGGATCGATGAATTTAAGTTGTAAATTTGAATTTAAAATCTCACATTTAAAATTCATATATTTTAAATTTTTTATTTGGATGATATAAAAAATTTTAAATTATAATACTAAAATATTTTTTTGAATTTTAAATAAAATTTCAGATTTCAAATTTTATATTTGAATTTTTTGGTCAAAAAAAATTTATATTTAAATTTAAATACAACTTGGATAATATTAGTAGTCTGGCCCAAATTATGGGCAACGACTCAATTTTGGGCCCACACTAGATGGTGGTAGCAATCGCCATTGACAGTTCGACTGTTGTTCAATCCCAATAGATGCCCACAATAGTTTGGTTTCAATGAATGTCAACCATAGGTAGTGATGTTGAAGTCGAGAAAGTAGCAAAGTTGATGAAACAATATGAAAGAAGAGAGCAGCTTCTGCTAAAATTTAAAATAATAAAAATTTAAAAAAAAATTAAAATTATAAAAGGATTGAGTTAGGTAGGATGATACAAATTCAAATACACACATTTTTAATTATCTAAATAATAAATTTAATTCTAATTCAAATCCACTTGTATACAAATATAACATTATATTGCTTCTCAACAGAAGAGATTTTTATGAAAAGGAACGCTATAAAGTATATTTCTTCTAAAGCTTCTCCATAAGAAAATTGTCTTTTAATGGTGTATTTTTGGAGAAGTGCGATATTTCATACATACTCTTCTAGTATAGAATAATTAGATGCATCATGATGCTGCAAATTTTCTCCCATCGATATTGTCGTTCCCTAGCAACCATCGATCGTCTTCAACCTCTCATCGTAGAAATGTTTTAAGGTAATTGCAAATTAACCTCGACGGCAACGGCTTGCCCTCAATGTCGACGATGTGCTCTCCCCACCGTCTTTAATTGCAATGACAACGTGGGGAACACTCTGTGCAACACGATCCGATCCGTGCTTTCTTTTGCATCTACTTCTTTTCTTTCTCCTCTGTAATCGGTGATCTATGCTTTTCTATTTGTAAATGTTATTGTGTTGATTCTGTAAGTTTCATTTCATTTTCTGCAGCCGTGTTCATCAGAGCTCTGAATTGGCCAAAAAAATGGATATTCAGTTATCTCCTCTTGAACAGTTCAGGGAATTGTTTTTCCGATCCCCTCTAATATAAAGAGGACGAAAGATAACAGTTTTTAACCGAAAGAAGTGCTATCTTTTCCTTCACAAAGACAACCCGCTAGATAGAATTCCAAAAATGCATTGCAAGAAATGTTGGCCTGGTACTTGCTAGTTCATGTCCACTTAATCCTGGTTATGGATGTTGACTTAGGAGTCGGAATCATGGCCTTATCTTTATCTTGTAAGAATGAAGTGGAGGGTTCCACGCTAGCTGCTATAATCAGAGAGTGAAAGAGAAAGAGCGGCTGCGAGCAGCGAAGCGTGCATGAGTTTCCGAACCATTCTGAGGATCGTACTCATTACCACACCCACACCACCATTCTGCTTTAACTCTGTCTCTCAGCCGCGTTTCTTCCTTCACCGACATTTTCGGAATCAGGGTTTCCCATTTATTGCCTTCGTCCCATTACACAGACACCCCCAGAGATATGTAGCTTTTGTCTGCCTTCGTTTTTCGCTTTATTCGTTCTTCACACTAAGCATCGGTCCTCTCCAAAGTTGTTCTGTGCCCTCCCTCTCTCCCACATCAATACTGATGCCTTTGCTTTTTCGACCTCTTTCATTAATTTCCGTTGAGATTGCAATAAAGGTTGTCATTATTAGTATTCGAGTTCTCTGTTTGATCCCTCTTAATTTGAATACCATATATTATCACTATCATGGCACAGTACTTTCGTTGGAAAGCTCAGTCTCACCCTTATTTTTGACCGTAATCCCTTTTTCTTTTACGTACTTTTGAAATTTGAAATGCATGTATAAACCCAAAAGTAGTTTCATGATTAATATATATTGTTAGAATCTTTCATCATTGTGGTGAAAGAAGTTCTAGAATACGCCCTACTTCAGTTTGGTAGACTATGGGATTGCATGGTTTTGAGTGGGATTTTGGCGTCTTCTCGTCACGCGCACGCAGTGCTTCAGTTTTCGATCGCAAATAAATCCAACGACCATGTACGTCATATTATTTCATGAATCTATCGCTGATTATTACATCATAACGACTCTTGACTCTTGACTGATAAAAAGTACGACGCTACCGGCTTCCTAGGAGTTCAAATTAAATTTGCCACTCATGTTTCCGAGAATTTCACTATCATGCATGGAAGAGTACTCCTCAATCAGTTTGCAGAAATCGCTACTTACTATATTGTTATATAACAGCTTCTCCCAGAGCCTGACTGAACCCATACCATAGAATCAGAGATAATAAATAGTTTGGTTGATCGAGCAAGAGATGGGATGTAAAAGTGACTACGTCGTCGGTCTGAAATAGATGTAATAAAGTCTTATTACCTGATAATTGCAGACCTATATATAGATGCTAACTTTTCTAATGCCTACTGATCATAAAAACGAGAAAAGAATAGCATTTTGATTTATATGTATATGTATATTCAAATCTCTCAGTCATTAAAAATTCCGATGGGAAAGACTTCACACTTCTTTTATATCTACATCCGAACCGAACCAATGCTGGCCTTGCATAATTAAGAGTGTTTTTCCTAGAGGGTAATAAGCTTGTCAAGAGGCAGTGAAATATATATATATATATATATAGAGAGAGAGAGAGAGAGAGAGAGAGGAAAAAGTGTTCGATTTGAAACTCTAACAAAAGAAAACACAGCCTCAACAAAAGCTAACGTGGAGTGGCACATTGTTCAGTATTGTTTCACTTTTCTTCTCTAATCTATGCTTTATCGTGCTCAAATGTGGGCGAAAACTGATGCTCTATAGTGTGACCTAGCTCGGAGAAGCAGGCCATATATAGAGAAAACACAAGGTCTGATTATAGAAACCCCATAGGAAATACACCATTACACATGAACTCAGTTATACAAACCAACCCATATAGTACAAAAGAGACTCCCATGCAAAACCTAAACAAATATCAATTACAAGCAGCAACATAATAATTAAACAAGAACAACAAGAAGAAGATCCAAATTCTACCGTTGTAGTCCGCGTTAACATTTCTGAGGCACTAATCTTGAACTGGGATAGAGTGCTTCCATTGTGATGGTTTTTGTTTTTGACCATAATGCAATGGTCAAGATGTTAACTTACAAGAGATGGCTGGTGGAAGAAGATGCAAGACCCGATAAATCAGTCCAAGAATAGTACTGATTATTACTATTATTATTACCTATGGGCGGTCTTGACAAATTTAGGGCTCCAATCTCTTCCAATTTAACATGTGGGAGCTGAGTCGTAGCCCTAGAACTTGAATCTCCAATCACTCCATTCTGCGCCACTGCCATGCTCTCGCCTTGAAACTGATAAGAAGAATCAACTGAATTATTCGACTCGAACCCATTCAAGAAATTAGGGAATGGTTGTGAGCGCCACTGGTTCTCCACCCCTCCGATTTGAAAGCCCATGGGCTCATTCTGGGCTAAGATCTCACGCAAGCTCAGGCCCATGTTCCCCAAGCCGTAACGGCCGCCCAGGTTTTGTAAGGAAGCCATGAATGGTAAGTTGGAAGGTTGCTGCGAATGACCGATCAGCTCCGTGGTGGCGGCGCCGGAGGGGATTGAGCTGTCAGCGGTGTTGGGAAGCAGGCTCTGCTTGTCAGCGGCGGCTGGTGCGGCTGCCGGGGATTTCGAGCGGCTCCTTTTGCTCTTCTTGTTTCTTCTGCATCCGCCTCCCACCGGCACGTTCCTGAGAGCGCCGCCTCTTGTCCAGTATCGCCGACATGTCTTGCAGAAGTGACGAGGTTGAGACAGGCTGTAATTGTTGAAGTAACAAAATTTTGTGTTGGTGGATTCGCAACGGGGACACTTTAGGGCTGCCTCGGGTGGCGGTAGCTTTGCTAGCCGGGCCCGGTCAGCCATCGAACCGGGCCGGACTGAACCTGCACCACCACCTCCAGCATGAGGAAGCAGCTGATAGTTTTCAGTTCCATTTGATTGCTGTTGATTCTGTTGCTGCAAAACAGAGAAAACCTCAAAACCCAGAAAAATAAGAAAGGAAAAGATTCACGATGAAGCAGTATGATATGAAAACAGAAAATCTGGTATATTCAAGAAGATATTACAAGGAATAGGAATAATAATCTTTGGGAAATAAATTAGCTTTTTAGGGTTCGGAGGATGTGGCTGAAATTAGAGGAAATTGGAAAACCTTACCGGCTGCCAATTGGGAGGATCTAAATAGACCGGAATAGAAGAGAAAACCATGGTGTGGTGTGATGATCTTTTTATGGTTTTTCTTTTTCTAAAGTTTGATAGGTCTTTAGAGAGATGGTGGAGAATCAAACTGAGGGAATACCAGAGCAAAGAAAGAAGGAAAGAGAAAAGGAGAATTAAAGAGAAGGGGGGGAGGGGGAGGGAGAGAGAGCTAGAAATTAAAGCATTGTGGGGGGGGGGGGGGGAGAGAGAGGGTGCTTTGCTTTTGCTTGCTTTAATTTGCTCTTACATTATTATTCTCTCTTATATTCTCTATCTCTTTTTGTTCTATTATATTTTTTTAGGGCTTCAAGTGGAGGGAAGTTTCTTAACATATAAGCCTTCTTTATTGATGGGGTGATCAGTAACAGTAAATATATATATGCTGATGAAAGAGGATAGTGGCTCTCATATTGCTGCATGGAGAGGAAGATTATGACGACACCGTATACAGCAAAGTTAATTATCACTGTCTATTCTATACTGGTAATGGTGGGATCACCTCACGTAATCAAACATTTTTAGCTTATCCATGGGCCTGACACATGCACGACATGCTTCATACATATGTAGCTGCTGTTTTCGATACAGACATTAATTAATTAAACGTGGAAAATGGGGGCGGAAAAAGAAAGAAAGAAATCATCTAAACTCAAAACCCTCTGTAAAGCGTCCTAGATGAAAATATGTACATATGATATTACCTGGTAATAATGAAGTGTCTTTATGCGTGTGGGTGAGAAAAACATTTAAAAAAATAAAACTGGTATACAATGCAGGTAATCACAATGGATTATAGTTCCCACAGATGCAGTCAGTAGTGTTCTTCCAGTGATCATCAAACAATATTTATAAAGGGTGTATGCGTTTCATGAGATTTAGACCCGTTGAACTCGCAGCAAATTAAATATATGGTGATTATGATGTTCTGTCCACGATGATAATATATAGAATCATATATAAGTATTTTCATTTGCATAATCCTGAAAATATTACTTGATGATTTATTCATTAAATATTTGTGTTTTTTATTTTGCTTGTCGCTGAAATTTTTCAATTTATCAGTACCTTAAACACTTTTTTCATTATTGAATTATCCTTTGAACAAAAGCCACAGAAGCTTCTCAAACTAACCTTCTATTTAGTAAACATATTTAAATTGATGGATTAAATTAAAAAAAAATTACCATTGAATAATTGTTATACTAATTAAACATTAAAAAAAAATCATATTTGTTTCAGTGTATGCGTGCCTTGCATGTCGTTTGATTTGTTTTAGTCTGCTTTTTTTGTCTATTTAATTGGAGAAAATCCAAGAGACACGACTAGCGCAAGTGATATTTTGTTTTACTATATTTTAACTTTTGCTGCTAACATAAACTTAATTATCAAGGGCACCCATAATTAAAACACAAACAAGTTTGTTTATACAATTATACCTAAACTCACACTTGCCATTGACCCTCCTTTACCCTTTTATCCAGTTAATAAAGCTGTGATCAAGTAAGTAATTTTGTGTTAGATATATATAGATACACATTTTCTCCCTAGCTAGTTTTCGATTGGTAATTAATGCGACGCATAGTGGATTCTAACATTACAACGATGTGCAAAGGACGTTGCGAGTGGGATATAATTAATGAAAAGATGGGCAGTGCAGTACAATTGAGAAAGCAAACACGGTAGAAGGGGGGAAAGTTTGCAGCACGATTAAAGCGGTATTGTGTGTGTGTGTGTGTATATATGATCATGTAATTAGGGCTTGTCTTGACTGGAATAATGGCTTTACTTTTTGTATACATACCTAACATGGGTAAATTCAAGTCTTAAAGTTGTAGGATTGATCCTTCTTTTGTGCACAGCACCAACAATTATGACATCAAATTCTTGGAATGGAATGTGAAGTTCATCCCAACGTTATATCATCAATATCTTTTTTTTTCCCCTTTAAGTGGCTCAATGGACACTATCTCGTAGCTGCCCTTTCATTTTAAAATTGCTTCAATTATTATAATACTTGAAATCGATGACGTTCAATTCATTAGCTCGTGTCTTTTGTCTATTTTTGCTTTGCTTTTTCCTGTTAAACCCCCCTTTTTTCCGGTGCAGAGCCCCCCTGATGTGGTGGAGAAAAAAAAAACATTCTTTTTCTGAGTGGCGAGAGTCACACTCTGATTCGGACGCTCGCTTATTGGGTGTGCATGAGCAAGAGACGAAGGAAAGTGAACCAAAAACTTATCATCCTCCGATCCATTCATGTCGTTTCTTCGATCAGAAGAAATTCTGGTATCTGATCAGTTTTATTAATTAATTCTTCTTGCTCTTTTGGCACCACCTGCCAGTGTCATTGTGCCCTTATTCGTTAAAAAAAATTGATAACTTACATATGGAAAGGTTTCGGTCAAATTGACTGGGGAAAAAAAAAGTAGCTAGCTCTCTATATGTGTTATACTTTAATTTAAGTTGAAGTAATTTTGGTGCCCAAATCATCATCACCTACAGCGTCTGGTAGACTGTCTTTTATTACTGACTAAAAAAAGAAGACGATCTTGTATTACTGCAGGAAATCCAAATGAAAAAAATTAGTCATATACACAATACGTACGGTTCAAAAAATATTTGTCATATTGTAAGAAGCATCCTATTTTAAGTATGTATAACAATAATTTAATCATCAACTTAAATTGATGTGAATGATAAAAGTTATCGTCCCTTAAACAAGTATATATAATTGAAGGTTCAAATCTCAACTTTTTCGCATGAAGTAAACCTCATTAAATGGAATCATTAGTCTATATAGTTGGTGGATAATACTTTTGATCTTATAAAAAGGTTTATTTAATGATTTTCTACTTTTTTATTTTCTTGAATAATTTCATTATTTTTATTTATTCAGGAGCATGTTAGCGGAGATGATCACCATGTACCAAATCCTATCATCATTTGTCAACTTGAGTTTAATCTGGGCAGAAAAGAAAAGGCTTGCGTTTAAGTTTTTTATTTCTTTCATATGTACAGTTTTCCACGCACACTATTCAGTGCGAAAAGTGTTATTTAGCTCATTCGAATTGAACAAGAGAACCCAATAAATCAATTAATATTAAAAGAAACATATTGGTTAATTATGCCTGATCTTCGAGTCTTCTGGTTCAGAATTTCTTTCTCAAAGGAAACATAATTAACGCTGAGACAGTTGCCTTAGGCCACTAAAAAATTCCTTAATATCACTATTATGTATGTGGTGTAATTGATACTCGTATTGTTATATTTAATTGCAGATAAAAGAAAATAAAAAGTCATATTGTTCTTCTAGTTAAAAAGCATTAATCATTCCCAATATAATATTAATTATTGAGTTGAGTCCATTATCTACATTAAAAACAATAGCGAGATTCAAAATATACCAATTTGTACTATATTAGCTTGCTCTAATTCCCTCTCTTAATCTCACTTTTGTTTTATCCTTTTCTTAACTATGTGTAGTTTTAGACCATAGAGATAACACCTTTAAGCCTTATTAAAATATCATTTATAATTTATATAGTTATTATTGGTTTTTCTACATTAATCATTGATATCATAAGTCTTTGTTATATCTTTTTGTTAAAAATGTATTGTTATATATCTATCCCAATCAATATATAAGATAGAATAGGAGTATTTTGTCAACACTAGCTAATTTTCACTTCTCTATTGAATTAATTTAGTATTTTATTACTATATTATAAAATTTTAATATATTATTTTGCAAAAAATGATGAGTGGATATTATTTTTGAAAGGGTCTATTACATGTTCTTGGCTTTACTAATAATTTTGTCTTAGGTCTCAAAATGTTTCACACACGGCCTGGGTGAGACTTACATCTTTCCATTCCTTTAGCCGGTGTGCAAGATTTAATTTCGTTGTCTATGTATGATTATCAATAAATGAAACTTTCATACAGAATCCAAGCACACGAGATCTTTCTCCTTTCTTTTTTGATATGACGTCCACTTGTATGGTCACAACCATTTTGATCGCTCTTAATTAAGAGAAAAACAAATGAAAGAAAATAGCCTACTACTTTTAATTTTCTTTCCATGCAATAAAGTACTTCCAATATTTGATATTAAAGATGGATGCAAAAATTAAAGAAAAGTAAAATAGTTTCCATTGTGAAAAGAAGAAGAAGAAGAAGAATGACGGGGGTGCAAGTATACGTGTGTGGAGGTTATAAAGAGACGTAGAAGAGAGGAAGGGGAATGGTGGGGCCAGAGTTTCCGTGTGATGTTCCTTAATATGTAATTACAGACTAATGCATGTAGCCCAATCTATCTGCTTGGCCAAAATGCAGAAAGAGATTAATCCCAATTATCATTTCCCCCCCCCCCCAAATGATGTGGTCGATCGGCCCCTTCTATCCACTTTCCTCAAACATATATACGTCCTGTTGCTTCATCTATATATACATATATGTATGTATGTATCACCTGTCACCGGAAACTGGCGTATACGCAGTTTGTTCTTCGTCCATGTTTCTGGCTGTTGAACCTTAAAAGAAATCCAGGTTATTTTGCAGAGCATTGAATATTACTACAGCCGGACCTATTTATAAGAATTAAATGATAACTAAATTTTAACTACCATATATTAATTCTTATAAAATAGATCTGGGGTTAACTGATTAGCAGCAAGAAATATTGAGGTAAGTAGAAGCAGAAAGGGAAAAATGATGAGAAAGTTGAAAGCCAACAAAGAATTAATGTACCAGTGTATATATATACATATATATGGATCGGATTTAATTCATGAACTAGTTAAATGAAAGACGAGGTCCATTTTCGGCAACACATAGGACAAGTTCCTTGTATCCGTGTTTGCTTAGAATTGTTGTAGCAAATGGATCATTAATCGGAAACACGACAACCTTTTAGTTTCCGTGGTTTTGAATTTTTGATTGTTGTCTGAGAATCTAGCTAGCGCGTCAATGACTTCCAATTATGAAGGCTATTTGAAGTTTGGAAGATACGGTATGGCTTCAAAAAGAAATATGGAAGATACGCTTTCCTCACGGAAGAAAATGAAGAGTTTTAATATAATGAAATTCAATGCATTGGTCATGTGGAGTAATGCCCGTTTTGTAACAGATAAAGTTTTTGAACGAAAG